AGATACTAAAGAAATAATAATAATCCCTAGATACTAAATTAAATCTTAATAAACTTTAAATCAAATCAAATATAATTCTCATCAGTTATGCTTTGTAGGAACTAGTTTAACTTTTATCATGTGTTTTCTAGTGAATTTATAATATATCCATAATTTTTGTAAAAGATATAATTACATAATATTGAATTGCGTAAAAAAATGAATTTATTACATTGATTTTATAATAAAGTATTATCTTCGCTTCAGCAGGACTTTAAGAAATCATGATCAATTATATGTCACTGGTAAATGGTCTGAACAAATATTAATTCATGTTCTTAAAAAATTTTATACATCTCCACGTTATATTTTTAAATCGCAAATATTTTATCTTCATTTTTACAACAGTTGTTTTGTTGTTGAGGAAAATGGATATTAGGGATCTTGTTAAGATATTAATGACAATTGAAAACCTCAAAATACTGAAATGCTAGAAAGGAACCATGGCCGTAATTTAATTATTATTAATTATTGAAATAATTAATAGAAGATTAGTTTTGCATTTAAGCAAAGTTGGTTGTAAATTTTTGAAAAGTTACTTGTGAATATATAGAAAATCAGTTGTAAATGGATATTCATAAACATGAGAGAGATCTTATAATTGATTTGCAATTAAAGTTAATTATATTTATTCATTACTGATGTTCCATATATTCCCAAAGCAGCATTCCTTAATTAAATTCACAATTTACTATCCTTAAATTATAAGTTATGTATGAATTCATGAAACTATCTATTCATTCAAAACTAAAGTTTTATAAATTCACAATTCACAAGTGACTATCATAAAATTTGTATGTAATGATATATAAATTCATAAAGCTATCTATCCAATCACGATGAACTTTCTATTAATTCACATGTAACATTACTTAAATGTATAACTGACTTTGTTTAAATTCACATCCCATTAGTTGTTTTAATAATTATTTATTTTTTGATTACAAGTAGTGACCATGGCTCTAGGCTAGTGATGGATTTAGAAAAAATTAATCAATGGGGGCACAAGTTATACTTAAAATAAATATTAATATTTTTATAAAATAAATAATTTTAAATATCTATTAAATTTTATTAATGGTATAAATTAATAAAATTAAATATTAAAAAATGCATAAAACATAGCATTATAATAACATAAAATACTCTATGTAAATATTTTTTTATATCTATTAGAATCATGATTTTAGTTTTCATTAAATAAAACTGATATACCTCTTTTATATGTTAGATAATTTTGTTTATAATATTTTGCATGAGCAATTTTTTTTTTAAATTTTTGCTTTTCCATTTTAAAACTATTGCTATTTAAGTTTATAAAATACACATATATAATTTTAGATAATGAAATAAATAAACTTTTATAAGAGCATAAGAGAATTTTTTGGAAGTGAGGGGGCAATTGAAATATTTTAACGGGGGCAACTAAAATTATTTAGGATTATTTTAAGTAATATCTTCTTAGGCTAGTGGGGCAATTGCCCCCTCTATGGTAAGCATAGATACGTCCCTACTCTAGGCTTTTCCATGAAATTTCAATAATTTAAGATTTTTAATTGTTGTTATTAATATCTTTATAAGGTTTTTAATTCTCATTCCCCCTTCCTTTTTGGCTAGAATAACTGTCATATTTTTTTAAACTTAGTGAAATTAATTTCTACCAAGATTGCGCTCCAACTATTAGACCCCCAACTAATCATCTAGCCTTAGCTTAGACTAATAATTTATATGTCAGGAAAATAAAGAAATATTGAAGGTTTCTCAATATCGCATTAAAAAACGGATTAGAGTATAAAGCAATTAAGAAATCAATAATATTAATAATTTTATTCCGAAATTAACAAAAATTGCCACCTAATATTCTTGATTATCCTATTTTATATTTTTTCCCCTAAGAATCTTAATTATTTCTCCAATCAAACAGAAAGAAACGACAGAAGAACACGACACGACCTGAAATCTTTTTGCTGTATGAGTTTTGGAGCAACTTGGAAACGAGTTAACAAGTTGGATCGTTTTTCCTATGCAACCAAAACAAGTTGGATCGTTTTTCCTATGCAACCAATAATAGAAACAAAGTTTCTTAATTTTATTGGGAAAATTATAGAGAAAAACGTACAGAAAAAACCTAATTAATAGTTTGGAGAGAGAGAATCCGTTTCCCGTGAGGAAAAATTTGGAGTTATTTAACAAAGGAACCCGAAGCTGTAACATGCTTTTTGACACTTAACTTTACCTGTCCATATTCCCTAGTCCAAGAAATTCTATTCTTATTCCATTTTAAATGTTCGATTTAAATCTTAGATGATCCTCATGTTACAGAAGTGTTTTATTCTTTTAGATTTATGAAAATAATAGATGGTTGAGATCTTATATAAGATAAGATGGAAACTCTTTAGAGGATGGAGAATATACCTAGCTTAGCTTCACAACAAATTAATTAAGGTTGGTCTAATTGGTTGAGATGTGATTCTTACCACACAAACATAAATTCAAAGGAGTTTTTTGAATTGTTCTAATTTGAATTTTGTTATTGATATAAGGATTTTTTGTGGGGGAGAGATCATCTCAAATGGGACTTATCATAACAATGCCACCTCATCTGATGCAGTTGACATTCAATAGTTTCACTCTGTGGCACTTCGCTCAACCTCCTAGCTACTAGTCAGGACCTTTTGTGAGATCAGGTTCCCAATGAATAATGCACCAATGTAATGTTATGAGCATGAATTCTTAAGGTAAGCACATTCTAAAAGACTATCTTAGGTATTGGATGAAAGAACCCCTTGAATATATAAATCACACTTTACTTATGAGGCTCTTCGATGTAAGACTTATAACATAAACTATAAGTATTTTTGTGATCACCACCATAGCAAGGCCATCACCCACTTAATTTTCCTTTAAAAAATTAATAATATTATACTTTACTTTATTTTGGTAGTTATAAGGAGTAGTCTCTCTCTCGAGAGCAGAGACTACCTCTCCTAAGATACTAAGAGCAATAGGTAAATCTCTCCTAATTAAATTTCTATATATACAAGAACTGGAGCTCAAACCCTCAACCATTTACTAAAGATGAGATGACATACCATTCACTCCAACTTTAGTTTGTGTTTACACCTCTGGTCATATTATAGGATGGAGTGATAAGATTAATTTTGGTCCTATTTATAAGACATTCACTATTTTCTATATTTATCTTTACCTTTCTAATGCTAGAAAAAATTATTAAAAATAATTTATTTTCCTTATTTGGGGGTTGAAGGTAAAAACTTATTAAATTTTAGAAGAATTGATGACGTTTAAGGTTTTCCCTGATTATGAGAAAACATACAAGAAGTAACTTATAAACAAAATCAAAGGGAGTATACTCTACTATTATCTCTTGAATTTAATGCATATGATAATATCTATGACTTATTTTTGAGCAACATGATAGCACCTAATGTGTTGTCTATCTCCGATATATACTTTAGAATATGATAAATGCTCCATGTGTTCATATTATTGTATAGTTTCTTATTTCTTTAATATAGCTAACTCTCACCCTCTTATAATCAACACTAACTAAGCAAATAAAAAAAGGAAATAATATAATATAATAATATTTGTACAAAATAAAGCTATGCGGAACTGAGAACTTTTTCTTGGAGAATCAGTAATGGGTTATCGAAAATGTACACACAATATTCTATCAAAATGCTTGAGAATAAATTAATACTATAGGAATTTTACCCAGTTCATATATATATATATATAATGCAAGTTAAATGCTTGAGAACAAATAAGTTATTAAATATTTCTTTGAAATTCTGAAAAGACATAATATTATGAAGGAAAAATGATAATAAAATCTCTACGAATTATATAAATGACAATTTAATTCCTCAAAATATCATAATTCTACTGAAATTTCTAAAGACTTTTTTGTCAATAAATTTTAAATTGAAAATATTATTTTATCCTCATTAATAAGTTGTGATTTTTTGTTCAATTCTTGCAATTTATTAAATAAAAGTTGTTAAATATCAATATATTAGTCCCGCCTCTGCCAGTTAGAACAAGAGAATTCGAATCTAAAATCGAAATAGAAAAGATTTGAATGAAATCGTAAGAATATGCATGCTTATTCTTTAAATAAATTAGGATTTGTTATTTTGAAAACTTGTTTTTTAATAACAAAAATTACACTTGATAGGTTGTGATTTCTTATTTAATTCTTACAATTCATATAATAAAAGTTGTTATTCCTTAAATAAAAGTTGTGATTGGGGCTTGTTATTTTGAAAACTTATTTTTTAATAACAAAAATTATACTTGATAAGTTGTGATTTTTTGTTCAACTTTTACAATTCACAGAATAAAATTTATTATTTCTTAAGTAAAAGTTGCTATTGGGGTTTATTATTTTCAATAAAGTTAAAATGATATTTTCTCTTTAAAATTTATTGATACAAAAGTTCTTAAAAATTTTAGTATAATTATAACATTTTAAGAGATCATATTATTATTTATATAATTTAAAAAAATTTTATTATTATTTTTTCTAATATGAAACAATATTTTTTTATAAGACAAATACAATGAAACAGAGGGAGTATGCATGTATTATATTCAGTATGTGGCTATAAAGTTGATAGACCATTAATGATTCTAAAACAATTCAGCTAGAAGGGTCGGTGAAAAAAGTAACTTTTCCAATAGAAAATCATGGTCGTGAATGACGTCATAAATTTTAGACTCACGGATCATCAAACATTAATCTGCTCAAAAAAGCTTACATATAATAATGAGTTCTGCAGTTAGCTGGACAGAATTAAACAGTAGTTGGTCAAATGATAATTCCAAAACTGTAACACATGTGAGACTCGATCAAAAAATATCCCTGTCTTTCTCAATCATCAATCTCTTTAAAAGCCATGCACTTTTGTCTAACGTTTCCAAGGCTTCTGCTTCGTCGTTTAAACGCTATTCTGCGCAGAGAGAGAGAGAGAGAGAGAGAGAACGGTTTCCAAGGGGCATAAAAGAACAGCCATGTGTAGAAACCTAGGGTTTCATCGTTCAATCACCAAGTCCCATGAGGTAATTACTCTAAAACCTCTTTAATTCTCTCCTTTCCCGCTATTTTCTATCATTAAAATCATAGTTATATCAGCTTCTCTGTCTCTTATCTAATTTTTCATCCTCATAACAATCATATATTCCCTCTCTCCTAAATTATAAAATATTTTTTTAAAAAATTTAATATTCAAAAATATAAGACACTTTGATAAAAATAAAGTTTTATAATTATACTTTTTTAATATTATCCATCCCATATATTCTCTCTCTTTAATATTCTTTCATCAATGTAATATTAAATGAAGGATATTTTTAAAATTTTATATTTGTCTTTAAAACGTAAGGTTGTAAAGTGTTAATGAGTTTTATTGGCATGAGATTTTACCTAAAAATGTTTAATAATTTGAGACGGAGGGAGTACTATCCTTATCCTAAATATAAGATAAAGTTATAGTAATTAATACTTTTTTTATAATTTCATCCCTTGTTTATTTATTATCATTTGAATTCCTAAATAACAATTTATTATGGTCATTAATCATAAAAGAGGGTAAAGCTGGAAAAAGTACTTTTTTTCACAATCTCAAGATTATAGCTAACATTTTTTAATAAGCGCAAAGTTTGTTAATTTTATCTTATATTGAGAACTGAAGGAAGTAATTTTTTAGAATAATAATATCTGCTAATTTGCTACGTGCTTGCTTACTTTCTGCAGCATCATAGATCTTCAGTATTATTGGATGGATCTCAGTACATACAAGAGTTAAAGAGAAAGCTTGAAAAATTAGGTCAAGCAGTGCTGGATAAAGCACATGACATGATTGATTTCGATCCGATGCCTATGGTAGATCATGCTGGAAAACTTTGTTCTATAGTTCTTGTTTGGTAAACCAAAGGATGTTCTCTAAAAGGAACCAGAAAATATACTCAGAAATAAAATGGAATAAACATATTTGGGCCTATTTGTTTTATGGTTTTAAAAATTATTTTCCTTTTTTTAAATAAAAAATTCATTTGGATAAATGTTTTGGATTTCATTATTTTTAAAATTGTTCTCATTTTCTTAAAACAAAAAAAAAATATTTTAATTTTTTTTGTTTTGTTTTATTTTTCTTATTTTTAAAGATATACTACATTTGATAATTAAAAATTACAGTCAGCTCACACATTACTATTATAAGCCACTGTCATTAGCCACCAAGAACAATCAGTATCAACTGATTTTTTAATTCTAAATTTTTTTAATTAACATAATCAAATAAATTTTCGTTTCATTTTTTTTGACATACAAACAATTTTTAAAATTTGGTTCATAAAATAAATTTTAAAATTGAAAAGTGAGAACAAAAACCTTACAAGCCTGTTATTTAATTTCCTATTTCCTTTTTCGCTAGAAAACACTTTTTCACCTACCAAACATTGCATTATACATAGTTTTATATATATATATATATATATTCTGCAGATAATGTTTAATATGAAATCTGATTGCTATTATAAATCGTTGTTTAATTTGTTCAGAAGGTAACAGTGGAAGAACAAGAGAAGGGTTTTCTGATCAGAGTGTTGAGTCGAAGAAGCTGCCATGGATTGCTGACTTTCATATTGGAAGCTTTTGAAGAACTGGGCCTCGATGTTCTGTCAGCCAGGGCTACTTGTGTGGATGGCTTTTGTTTAGAAGCACTTGGAGTCAAAGTAATGATCACGTGAAATACTTCCAAAAAAAATTCATTTATATAAATTTCAAATAAACGACGTACAAACCACGAACAGGAACTCACATGCACAATCTATCTATAATTCTATTATATGTATGCGAATAATAAAAGACAAATAATATACCTACCTCAGTCACTTTCATGAGTGCTTTTAACTGTTGCGTGGAGCTACTGACAGGTTAGATATTTGTTATGATGCTTTGTTTCAGGACGAGGATGAAGAAGCAGCTTGTGATGATATCATGGACGAACAAGTAGTTCAACGAACTGTGTTTCGAGCTATTCAGAACTGGAGACAACTTAGAACCAATGATCCGGCTTCGAGCTAGCTAGCTTGCCCTAGCTTATGATAATTAAATTTGTAATCTGTTTCATTAATTTCAATTTCGTTCTCTCGGTTTTTTATTTTCATAGACTTCAACTGTCTTCGATTCAGATATATAGCTTTTTCGAGATAGTTACGAAATGGATGTAGCACATATGGTATTCCAAAGTTTGATTCTTAGATATGTGAATGGAGAACATTGTTTGAGAAAAGACAACCATTTACATGGCCATCAAATTCCTCGAGGGATTGGTTCCATGATTATTAGTTGTAGAGATAACTTGGAAACCCAATATATATATATATATATATATATTTCAAGTTAGTTGCAGAGTTATTTCCTTCGGATCATCTCTATTCACAACTCCCCTCTCCGTCTGTTCTTTTTTTTTTTTTTTGGTTAAACTAACTCAATTCTATGTTTCATGCTATCTAATTAGTCACTAATTATAGGCTATCAGAATTACTAGGATTTATAAAAATTATAATTTTTCTGAGAAATTAAAGCTTACTATAATGAGATGATAATTTTTATGTTATATATATATATAATTTTTTTCCAATAACATAAAAGCTCCTTTACTTATGGGAGCAACATTTTTTTTTTTTTTTTGCGAAGGAAGTTGAACTTTATTTATAATAAGAAAATGTAAAATCAATGCAGAACCATACAAACAAGCCAAAAGAAAAGAAACAATAGCACAACAAAAAACTTAGATCTACGTTACACAAGGGCCTAAGTTCTAAAGACAATCTCTCGTATGGAGAGTGTGGTTGACAAGGGCGTAGACTGCATGAATTATGGTCGATGAATGTACAAATCTCCAATCCTAATAAAATCTGCCATCGATTTCTTGAGCTCCATTATTCTGGTAGATAAGTGAAGGAGATGTTTTTAAGTGGACCAAGGTCACCAACCCAGTGGTCATATTCCAGAAGCTCGTTTGCGTGCCATCTCCGAGTCTCTGTTTGATCCCAATCTGGGTACCATATATTCCAAATCTTAGCAAGATTCATCCAAAGATGCGATAAACTTCTAATCTTCAAACATTCCGGCCCCTTTCTACCCCAACCATATTTGCTTCTCAACACCCGTACCCATTGTAGTAAGAAAATATTAATCATTTAATTCTTATAGTTTTGACCAAATTGTAATTTAGTTCTCAAAATATGATTTGTTATAATTCGATCCTTATAATTTTTGTTTAGTTGTAATTCAATCTCTAAACTTTAATTCTTACAACTCAGTCCCTGTACTTTTTAATAATAATTTAAAATATTAGTCCCTATTTTTGAAAAAAAAATATAAATATTAAAATTATTTTAAAATTTAGTACTAATATTTAAAGTTACTAAACCATTTTAATCTTTATAAATATAAAAATTAAAATTTTAAAATAGTTTTAATCTTTATAATTTTATTTTTAAAAATATAGAGACTAATATTTTAAATAGTTAAAACTATAGGAACTAAGTTGCAAGGGTCAAAGTTTAGGAATTGAGTTACAATTAGGTTAAAACTACAAGGATTAATTGATTAATTTCTCTAAAATTTAAAGACCAATTTGCCAGGAACAAATTGTTCTGTTCTTCCATATTTTTAATACCATAGCCTCCATTGCTTTGCGTTCGTGCATTGCTCCCTAAATGAAGTCCCTAGCATATGTAATTCATCCAGTAGGGGACAAAGTTTTAGCTTTCCATCTTAATAGCTTTGCTCTGATCTTTCCCTTAATATAGCTATAAATCAGCTTGTTTACTCGCTTATGAAGTAATGGGACGCCTAAGTACTTACCCAGGTTGTCACTTTAAAAGCTGTTTAAACCTTGTCTTTGTTTGTTTTTTTGTTCTTTCTTTTGCTAGAAAAGAACCAATTTTCTTAATCACCAAAAAATAAAAAAATACAAACATTAATAGCTGAAGCCAAAAAACATGCAAAAAAATAACCTAGATACTATTGGAAATTGTGCTTTAGAGCCAATCATTGTACCATGTACATTATTATTTAATAAATTTCTTTTTTATTATCATATTAATTACATGTTCACTATGATAACTATATCCTTAAAAAAACTATAATGATTGTCCTAAATGTCCTTGGTCGGTCATCTATAAGAGATCATAGATGAAATAAGACTAGTATAACTTTAATTAATTATAGAGATACAAATCAAAGTCATAGGCATGTAAAAGAGTACAAAGTGCTAGACTAACCCGCTATGAGAAAGTTGCATGATATAAGTCATAAGTTTATTTCATATGCAACTATATTACTAAGCTTTTTGACCTATGATCATCATGGATTCCTACATGATGACAACTAAACTTTGACCTTTTTGAAAGTTACCTTTGACTGGATGATCATAAAGGCTATAATTGAGTTTAGTGATATTCATGTAGAGGAATATAAGTGGTCAAGATAAAATTTATCCCTGACATTAAATGAGAGATATTACTCGGCCTCTTGATGAGTAAAATAAAGAAATGTATGGCTATACTACAATGGAAAAGGTTTTCTCCATTATTATAGTTAGTCCACTTAGAGATCGAGAAAGTAGTGGTCAGGTAAAGGAGAATGATAATTTCATGTCTCACACTTGATCGAAATATCACGTGATAAAAAGAATGTGATACAATTGCATAATAGGTTACATCGAATTATCAACCCCCATATGAATTTGATAGTTGTAATGTCTTGTTAGAAGCCACTTATAACTTGTGAGCTAATAGTGTAATTAGTCTATTGCCAACTTTATATAGGCCTACAAAGTCGCACACAAGAACAACCCAACTCGAGCTATAATGTCTAAGTTCATTGAATCTGGAATATATCTAGATTCAATGAATATAATAAAGGGTGAATGAATTATATATATATATTTGAATATTTATTTGATAAATATATATATATATATTTATTTATATGAAATATAAAATTCAAAATATATAATTTTATGTGTGTGTGTGTGTGTGTGTGTGTATTAATGTGTGTGTATGTGTGTGTCTGATATATATATATATATATGTATATGTATATGATATATAAAATTAAATATATATAATATATATATTTATATATATCTTTTATATATAATATAATATGTATATATGATATATTATATTATATTATATTGTGTTAGTTTTAAATTTAATTTTATATAATAGATTAAATTTAATAACCAACATGATATAAAAGAATATCATATCAGTTTTATAGTTTAAATTTATGAGATAAATTTAAATTAGACATGATATTATCATTTTATTTATGAGATAAATTTAATCTAAATTTCAATTGGCTCTTCAAGAGGAAGGCAAAAACCCTAATATATATATATAATAGATACAAGGGGACGTGTAAAGGGTGAGAGTTAAAAAGGTTTTGATAGCCAAACATTTTGAGAACCATGAAGCACCTTAAAAAAAAACCAACGTTCGAAGAAAAACGAATGCTGAAAGCACTAGCACGCTATTTGAGTTAGAGAGTTGTTTGTGTGGATACTGGTAAAGGGAGCAGATCTACATTGTCAGCTCTTGAGATCTAAACTCTTGAAGAGAACGCTTGTCAAGTTTGAAGAATTAAAAGGTAACTCTTCTATCTACCTTAATTTAAACGAGTTCGTTCAGTCCATATTAGGATAGGAATTTTAAAATTTTAATCTTTTGCTGCGCCTCCCTATCCAATAGTGGTACTAGAGCTAGGTCAAATTTTCATTTAAGTTAGATTTTGGTTGATTACGTTCTTAAATCTTCATGTGATTAACTTCTTTAGATGAACATTGTTTTAAGATTCTTGAAATTTATATGTGATATTTCTGAAATCCATATATGTTTTGCATGTGATATTTTTGAAACATATATATATATATATATAAACTTGTTTTACATATTCAAATTTATATGAATTTAAATAAATTAATATGATTAATATTTAACTATATGATAAGCGTTCTCAATGTCATTATTGTTCATCCATATTCTCATCTGGTTTAGGTTGAATTGTCAATATGATTGATGAATCCAAAGGGTCTAAGGTAGCAACACATTCAAAGAGAATAAGCTTTTTGAAAGCTTCGGGGAGTGTTTCCCCTTGCACCCCCATAAGGGATGCTACCCCTTGACCCCGCTCGCTAATCGGCTAGCAGGACCACCATGGCTAACTCTACATAGCGCAACTTAATTCACAATTTATAGCCTTTCATTATATATTAATTGTTTATTTGTTGTGTTTTGTTTTCCTTGAAGTTGTTTAGGTATGGTGACACATATGGCTTTAGTTTTAGAAGGGTTGTAAATTTTAAATATAGCCTGTGTGTCGTGCCTCTCTCTATAAACTTTGAATGTACATTATCTTCTCATCTCAATCCCCTCGTATGTATAAATGAGGTTTGTTGATGTAATTTATCTTCTTAGAGAGGTCTTTTCATTGACTTGGAATGGACATAGGTTAGATGAGCCATATTTTGCCACGTTTAATTATACTTTTAACTAGATCATAATATGCATGATTTTGTGTAAGATAAAATTGCTTTCACTTTACACAGTTATTAAATTAATAAATCAAACCCTCTAATCAAAATCTTAAGTCTTAATGCTTAAAATGACCATGTTATGGTGAAAAATCTTTCTCTTAGATAATTTCAAGAGAAAATCTTGACAGAAAAAAGAATTTAGAAAAAAAAAGTTAAGGTAATTTTATGCATTATTTATCTCAAAATTTATTGAGAGAAATATTTTTCTCCAAATATTTCTAGGGAAACATTATAATTCTCTTAAATAAGTTCGAGAGAACTGGTTCTCTTGATTTTTTTTTTTGAGAGAAAGTTCTCTCAATTAATTTCAAGAGAAATATTCCCAAATATTACTAGAGAAATATTTCTCTAAAAATTTTTTGAGATAAAGTCTTGAATTTCTCTCAAAATATTTGAGAGAAAGTTCTCTTGAATATTTATGAGAACACTTTTCATAAAATACTAAGAGAAAAATAATGTATTTCTCTCAACTTTTTATAAAGTCAGTTAAATTAAAAAAAGATAACAATATTGTTTAACAAGAATTTAAATCTTGATTTCTTATTATTTGATGGAATTAATAATAAATAATATTTAACAATATATTTTACAATATTTAAAAAAATTACGAGCAATTAGTATATAAATTATTTTTATATATGTAATTAATTTATATAAAAATAATGACGTG